GGCACCCCATAGACACACAAGTTGATCAGTTGATCTTTTAGCCGTGTGTGGTGCCCCCCTCCACCATAATCCACCTCGGTCATATCATAGCGGTGCTTAGGCGAAGCCCTGCGTCGGTAGCTTCATCAACACCGTCATCACGCCGTCGTGCTGACGGAACTCTCCCTCGAAGCTCTACTGGATCGAGAGTTCGTGGGACGTCACCGAGCTGAACGTGTGCAGATCGCGGAGGTGCCATACGTTCGGTAGTAGGATCGGTCGATCATGAAGATGTGCGACTACATCAATCGCGTTCTCATAACGCTTCCGCTTACGATCTACGAGGATACGTGGACGACACTCTCCCCTCTCTGCTATACATCACCATGATCTTGCGTGTGTGTAGGAAAATTTTGAAATTACTGCGTTCCCCAATACATATCACGTCACAACATGCCCTGCAAAAAGAAGTTGGACTTCCTCTACTTTGTTGTTGCAACTTTTACGTGGCTGCTATGGGCTTCTAGCAAGAACCATTCTTACCTACGCATCAAAACCACAACGATTTTTCATCAAGTGTGTTGTTTTAACTTTCAACAAGGACCGGGCATAGTCAAACTCGATTCAACTAAAGTTGGAGAAACAGACACCTGCTAGCCACCTGTGTGCCAAGCACGTCGGTAGAACCAGTCTCATGAACGCGGTCATGTAATGTCGGTTTGGGCCGCTTCATCCAACAATACCGCCGAATCAAAGTAAGACATTGCTGGTAAGCAGTATGACTATTATCGCCCACAACTCTTTGTGTTCTACTCGTGCATATAACATCTACGCATAGACCTGGCTCTAATGCCACTGTTGGGGAACGCAGTATTTCGAAAATTTCCTACGATCACGCAAGATCTATCTAGGAGATGCATAGCAACGAGAGGGGAGAGTGTGTCCACGTACCCTCGTAGACCGAAAGCGGAAGCGTTTAGTAACGTGGTTGATGTAGTCGAACGTCTTCGCGATCCAACCGATACAAGTACCGAATGTACGGCACCTCCATGTTCAGCTCGATGACGTCCCTCAAGCTCTTGATCCAGTTGAGGATGAGGGAGAGCTTCCTCAACACGACGGTGTGGCGACGGTGATGATGAAGTTACCAGCGCAGGGCATCTCCTAAGCACTACAACGATATGACCGAGGTGTGTAACTGTGGAGGGGGGCACCGCACACTGCTAAGAGAAACTTGTGTGTCCTTTGGGGTGCCCCCTCCCATGTATATAAAGGGGAGAGGAGGAGGAGGCTGGCCTAGAGGGGGCGCGCCATGGGGAGTCCAACTAGGATTCCCAATCCTATTTGGATTCCCCTTCCATCCAAGAGAGGGGAAAGGAGGGAAGGAGGAAGAGGGGAGAAGGAAAAAGGGGGTGGCGCCCCCTCCCTAGTCCAATTCAGACTGGCCATGGGGGGCAGCCTCCCTTGTGGCCCTCCTCTCGTTTCCACTAGGGCCCATGAAGGCCCATGAACTTCCCGCGGGGGAGGGGGCTTCCGGTAACCCCTGGTACCCTGAAACTTATCCGAAACGACCCGAGCCATTCCGGTGTCCGAATGTAACCTTCCAATATATGAATATTTATTTCTCGACCATTTCGAGACTCCTAGTCATGTCTGTGATCTCATCCGGGACTCCGAACAACCTTCGATTCATCAAATCACATAACTCATAATACAAATCGTCATCGAACGTTAAGCGTGCGGACCCTACGGGTTCAAGAACTTTGTAGACATGACCGAGACACATCTTCGGTCAATAACCAATAGCGAAACATGGATGCTCATATTGGTTCCTACATATTCTACGAAGATCTTTATTGGTCAAACCGCATAACAACATACGTCATTCCCTTTGTCATCGGTATGTTACTTGCCCGAGACTCGATCGTCGGTATCATCATACCTAGCTCAATCTCATTACCGGCAATCTCTTTACTCGTTTTGTAACGCATCATCTCGTGGCTAACTCATTAGACACATTGCTTGCAAGGCTCATAGTGATGTGCATTACCGAGAGGGCCCAGAGATACCTCTCTGATACACGGAGTGACAAATCCTAATCTCGATCTATGCCAACTCAACAAACACCATCGGAGACACCTGTAGAGCATCTTTATAATCACCTAGTTATATTGTGACGTTTGATAGCACACAAGGTGTTCCTCCAGTATTCGGGAGTTGCATAATCTCATAGTCAGAGGAACATATATAAGTCATGAAGAGAGTAATAGCAATAAAACTTAACGATCATTATGCTAAGCTAACGGATGGGTCTTGTCCATCACATCATTCTCTAATGATGTGATCCCGTTCATCAAATGACAACACATGCCTATGGCTAGGAAACATAACCATCTTTGATTAACGAGCTAGTCAACTAGAGGCATACTAGGGATACTCTGTTTGTCTATGTATTCACACATGTACTAAGTTTTCGGTTAGTACAATTCTAGCATGAATAATAAACATTTATCTTGATATAAGGAAATATAAATAACAACTTTATTATTGCCTCTAGGGTATATTTCCTTCACTGGCGTCGCCGGTGATGCTTCCCTGCAGCGGCATCGGCGCTCCATCAGTGTTCCATTGCATCACCCGACTGCGTCCGGCGATGCTTCACTGCAGCGGGGCCGGCGCTCCATTGGTGCTCCATCACAACACCCGACAACGACCGGCGATGTTTCACTGCAACGCCAAGCACGGCGCGGCGAGCTCCATCGTAGCACCCCGATGTGTCGCCGGCGAAGCATCACTGCAGTGCCACCAGTGCGTGTTGGTACTCCATGGCAGGACCGGTGGCCCCCGTCGAAGCTCCATCGTAGCACCCGATGGCCTCTCGCGAAACTTCACTGCAGCTCCACCACCGCGCGGTGGTGCTCCAGTGGAGCGCTTCGTTGACAGGGTTGTTGCGGCGAAGCACGTGGTGGCAACGGGCAGATGCTGTGACGCAGCACACGGCGGCGATGGTGGGTGCTTCATTGTGTGCAACACCCGCGGTCACCATTGCAGCCCCTAGTGAGAGCTTCACCATGCAGCACGCGCGTGATGTCGGGGGTTGGCCCGCGTCGCCTCTTCCCTGCTGAAGATGAGGGGAGAGCTCGTGGAGTGGAAAGGAGGGAAGAGCTCGTGGAGTGGAAGGGAGAGGAAGAAGATGAGAAGGGGGTGAGTGGAGGGGAGCGCACCGGAAAGGATAAGGTGCGAAGGGAAGCAATGGGCCGAGAGGGGCACGTGTCGACGCCTCGAGGAGGTTTAAGCCTCGTTGTAATCAGTAGGCTGATTTTAATACTTTCCCATAAATAAATTGGTGTCCGCGATAGATGTTCTTAGGCGTAGCAAAACTTCTTCGGGACCTGAATACAACGCGTATGCCTCTTTTTTCGATAAAGGGTGGATTTTATTAACTCAAAATGAAGCATCAAGTAGATACAAAACATGATGAGCACACACCCGGCCTCTACACAGCTAGAATGCACACAGCCAACACCAACACACGCACACACACAAAAAACACACTGAGAAATAGTAAAGTCATACAAGACCAAAGCTATGCCTAAGCGAAAAAAACCAAAGCGATCAGAACAACGATCGACAAACTACCACAACGACCATATCCGCACCATCCATCTTTTGACACCACAAGGACAAAAAAGTTCTTCAACAGCAACGCCTTCAGGAAGGGAATGACGCAGCAACGTCGTCGTCGCCGGATCCAACCGCGAGAGGCCAGAATCTAGGTTTTCACCGTGAAGAACAAGTTCGAGCATATCTAAGCAATGCCTTCAACAAGGTAATGATGCAAAAACGTCGCCATTGCTAGGTAAAACCAACTTAGGTCAAACCTAGGGTTTTCACCCCATAGCTCGAGACCGGGTACTCGAGAAGCACCACCAAATCTAAATCAATCATGTGTTGTCGCCACCACTTTTCCACGATCTTAGCAGCTACATGTGTTGGGCTTGAAATCCTGCTAGTGCCGCTGCTGCACAACCATATCCTTTATGTCAAGTCATCGTCTATAGATTGCATCTCATCGCCGAAGGCAAACTGGTCGGAGCGAGAGCCACCAAACCCATAAAGGGGGCTTTTGGCTGCATCCCGCCAGCTCGCCGGTTCGAGGCACCAACAGCAACCATCATCAGATCCAAAGAGATAAACACTCATGAAGACCACCAGGTGGCCACGGCAATCCGCAGGGCACGATTGCCCATAACCAAGTGGATCGCTATCCGAACCCCCAGCCGCCACAGAGCGCCGAGGCAAGCACGTGCGAGAGAGCTCGATTCCGCAGTCGCAAGGATGGTACCACCAGGAACTTCATCCAGGCCAACGCAGCATGCCAGATCCATAACGGGGACTCCCTGGTCTACAGCCATACAACGCGCCGCCGTTCCTCCTCCTGCGAGCTAAGCAGATACAGCCCATGGTTACCGCAGCAAGATGAAACGCCAATGCAAAGATCATGCTAACATCCCACACGTGCAGATCTCCAGATTTGTTTCTCTGCCACTGCAGCTATGTCACGACCACTAGCCTGTGACAATCACCACACGGGAGCAGGGGCATCACGAGGACTAGGTAGAACGCAGGGGAGTGGGCAGGAATGGCCCCGCCACCGCCACCAGCCAACCGCCGGTGACGGCAGCGAGGGTAGGGAAGAGGAGGCGGCGCCTAGGGTTAGGGCCGTGGGGAAGAGGAGACGATTCAATTAACGAGAACTTGTCACCCAACGCACATGATAAACTATATATATATGAGTGCTAATATGCATATGTCATTGCTTGCGTACTAGGCTGTACTGTACGGCGGATCGGGCATACCAGACCAAAACTTACGTTGCGCCTCGATCCGCCGTAAAGTACAGCCTACAGCGAAGTGAGTGAGTGACAGTTCCACTCTAAGCTCTACTAGGACTAGCTGCCACACTTATCCAAAACTAGATCGGCACACGGCCGATCTCGCAGTCTCAGCTTCGGTTCGGCATGGCCACGGCGGCGCCTCACGTCATGGTGCTGCCGCTCGCGGCGCAGGGCCACGTGACCCCGCTCATGGAGCTGTCGCACCGCCTCGTGGAGCACGGCGTCGAGGTCACCTTCGTCTGCACCGAGCCCACCCACGCGCTCGTCCTCGGCGCCCTGCGACTGCGACAGGCCACGGTGGACGGGATCCACCTGGTCTCCATGCCGGACGGCCTGGCCGACGGGGACGACCGCCGGGACCTCGGCAAGGTCCTGGACGCGCTCGCCCGGTGCATGCCGGGCTACGTGGAGGAGCTCATCAAGGAGAAGAAGGTGACGTGGCTCGTCGCCGACGCCAACCTGGGGTCCTTGTGCTTCGAGGTCGCCAAGAAGCTCGGCGTTCGGGTCGCCTCCTTCTTCCCGGCGTCCGCTGCATGCCTTGGGACCTTGTCCAGGATTCCCCAGCTCATAGAGGATGGCTTCTTCGACGACAAAGGTACGAGAATCTCCTGAATTTTTCAATGCTCAAACGAAAACGAAAATCAAGGCTGGGATTTACGATTTGTTGTCTATGCATCCAATGTCACACAGGTTAAGATCGCTTCTTTTTTTTTCCTTTGAGACAGCACGTCAGATCAGAGGATAATGTGATGTCTGAATATATAAATGCAGGCGTCCCGAAGCGACGAGAGGCGGTCGAGCTGGCCCCCGAGATGCCGCCGGTCTACACGTCGCACATGCTGTGGAGCGTCGACGGCGGGCCCGAGGTGCAGCACGTGGCCTTCCAGCTGGTGTGCCGGAACACCGAGGCGGCCAGCCTCGCCGACGTCGTCGTCTGCAACTCGTTCCTCGAAGCGGAGGCCACGGCGTTCGAGCTGTTCCCCGACATACTGCCCATCGGCCCGCTGCTCGCTGACCCCGGAAAGCCCGTGGGGCAGTTCCTGCCGGAGGACACGAGGTGCCTCGGCTGGCTCGACGCGCATCCCGACAGCTCCGTGGTGTACGTGGCGTTCGGCACCTCCACCGTCTTCGAGCCCCGCCAGTTCCGGGAGCTCGGCGAGGGGCTGGAGCTCACCGGCCGGCCCTTCCTGTGGGTGGTGCGCCCGGACTTCACGTCCGGCGCCGGCATCAGCAAGGCCTGGTTCGACGAGTTCGAAGGGCGCGTCGCCGGCAAGGGCATGATCGTCAGCTGGTGCTCCCAGCAGCAGGTGCGCGCAGTCGACATTGTCTTGACCACTGATTCCATTGTGACTTTCATTCCATGATCCATCGTGATGTTCGTATCGCAAGGTTCTGGCGCACCGGGCCGTGGCGTGCTTCGTGTCCCACTGCGGATGGAACTCGACGATGGAAGGGGTGAGGAACGGCGTGCCCTTCCTGTGCTGGTCCAGACTGAAGGTCGACCAGTACACCAACCGGAGTTACATCTGCGACATCTGGAGGACCGGCCTGGCCGTGTCGCCTGGGGAAGATGGGGTCGTGACCAAGGAGGAGGTGAACACCAAGCTGGAACAGGTCATGGGTGACCACGGGATCGCAGAGAGGGCACGGGTGCTCAGGGACGCAGCTCGCAGGAGTCTCGGCGTGGGCGGCTCGTCGTATGAGAATTTCAAGAGATTTATTAGCCTCCTAAAGGAGTGAACTTGTGCGTGGTTTAAATTAGCTTTGCCGGTCAGGATTATCGCTCCCAGTGATCATGATGTTCGGATTCCATTTTTGCTATCTCGAAGAGGAAGAAACGATGCCACGACGTGGGTCTTGGCGGGAGCCAAGCATGTCCGTTATGGCATCTTCACGGAGACCCTCAAAACTCTGATTTCTAACACAAAAACTGATTACTTTCATGCATACAAATCAGATTTAGGAGGGGGGTTGTTTCCAGGGACTTTTTGGTGTAGGACTAGAAAAAGTCCCCAGCAAACCAAACAGAGTGGGACTTTTTTAAGACTTTTTGCTAAAAGTCCTTAGAAGCACCTCTTTGAGAGTCTTTTTCAAAAAATCACAGAGACTAGAAAAAGTCCTAGGACTAGAAAACCAAACACCACCTTAATTTCAAACTAGTATGGTGTCTTATGGAATTGCGTGGGAAATGCCATTAGGGTCTATAAACACTTGTCTTAATGGAACAAACTACAACTTGCTTTCTAAAATGAAGACGATAATAGATGATGTGCAATCTTGCCAGGGAAGGTTGTTTAAATAAGTTATGGAAACTTTGATTCATTTTACGCCGGATTGTATTCACGATGTTGTGGCGGTCGAGATGGTCGTGACTTATTGCAGCTTTTCTCCCCATAAAAAATAAAGAGAAACCTTCGAGAATTCAAATATCCAAGAATCAGCAGGAGCATGTATTTTAAAGGTGCAGTTTCCAATGTGAAGTTGATCGTGCAGATGAAGGGAATGCACCTAGCCCGATCTCATTCCCAAGCCCACTACGGGTCGGAGAGCATGAATGAGTAAAGAACAGGGCACGGGACCAAGCGCCAACAGTTGCATTACACGTGCCCACGGCAGACGACTTCAAGCCCACGCTTCATCAACACAATATACTTCCTCTGTTTTTTTAGTCTCCATATAAAATTTGGTCAAAGTCAAACTTTGTAAAATTTGACCAACTTTATTGAAAAAAATATCAACATCTATAATACTAAAGTTATATGGTATGAAAATTAACTTTATGATGCATCTAACAATATTACTTTCATATTGTGAATCTTGATATTTTTCTCTATAAACTTACTAAAAGTTGACAAAGTTTGACTTTGACCAAATTTTATATGCAGACTAAAAAGAAACGGAGGGAGTATTTTTTTGAACACCGTACAATCCGCTAACATAAAATCGGCTAACACGCACAACTATACACTTTTACCCTCCACGCACATCTAGTAGGGGCGATGAGGGGGGCGGAAACGCGACCGCCTGAGGCAGCCGATCTCT